CCTGGGCCATAGCAGAGGGTGACTTTGACAAAGTGCCTGGGCTGAAATACACTCTAAGCTCCACACTGCAATACTGCACTAGCGATGAAGTGGCAGAGGGCTAATGGTCAGGAGGGTGGAGGATGTGTGTGACCCAGTGTTAGGTAGGTAGCATATTGGCTTTCTTTCATCTAACAAGTCTCTTTACTCTGTCGCTTAATCCCAAATTGAGACTAGAAGGTGCCCTTTGGAAAAGTACGTAATCCTGAATAGCTCCAATATCTTTCAATCAAGGCATAATTTCTGTAAAATATATAGGTTCTGATTCCTAAAGGTACTCAGGTATATATATAGAGAGAGAGAAAGAGAGATTGATAGCTTGTAGTTGAGTTTGAAGGTGAAGTTGATATGCTGTTAAGGGCTGCGTTCTAATTGATGACAGGCTCAAGGAGGTTTGAACAGCTGCCTCCACCTCCATACACCTTGGCGATATGGCAAGTCCTTTAGAGACAATTATCCGTGCACATTAACACTGCTAAGAATGCAAATACATGCTCACAAACCTCAATGACTGGAATAACAGGAGAAAAAATAGTTAGCAGGAAATGCCAGGTGCCTGAGTGAGAGAATTAATTACATTCTGAAGGAGGTATTTAAGATGTGACACAGCATGGCTCTGTATGACATCTGAATATGACAGCCACTCAGGTGACAGAAGGCTGGATGGACTGAGCTTTGTCTTGTCTCGACCTCAGAATCTAATGCTTGAATATAGGAGACGGCCTCGTCTGCTCCCACTCAACGCATGCGAGGTCAGCGTGGGACAGGTTTGTTCTGATCAGTCTGTGATTAATATATTAGTGTGGCCATTTTAGAACAGTGTGTGTTTTTCTATAGAGTCATCTTTAAAAGCATGTGTTGTTGTTGCTCTGTACCAAATTGTGGCACTAAATTGAGAACATTACAGCTTAAGGCTGGACATAAATCTGGCTGCCTCCTTCTGTTCAGGCAGGTAATATGGAGAGGGAGGTACAATACATTAATTCTAATCACAAACAACACACATTTGGATGTACAGATGAGCACACATTATTTTCAGCTTCATAGTATTAATGAACTGATCTGACGTTCTTTAACATGCTGGGCTGCGGCATCATGTGGCCCTTTAACATTCAGGGATAACTGGGTAGGTAAATGTATAGTGATCTGTGATTAGGCCATGATGCTTGAATGTCACACAGTAATAAACTACCTGACTTGGAGCTTTTATTTCCTGTTTATATGGCATGTTTTTGTGCTATGAGATCTATTCCTTGTAAGTGGACTGCCTGAGGGTTTGGCAAATCACGTACTGCACCCTTCATGTTTAAGTGTTCATCACCTTCATCAGTACCTCTCCTAGCTGCACACAAAGCCAGAGGGTCCCTCCAAAGTCTGCACCTTTATTTTCTCTTCCCAAGACAAATGTCAAGTATTTGGGCTTTAGCAGGGAGCACGGCCCAACCCGTCTGCCGCCAGTGGTGTGGAGACAGCTAGATAAATGTATGGCTACAATGCACCAGAGGCAAGGAGTCACGGTGCAATGTGAGGCCATGCCATGATAGCGACAGAAGGATTTTAATCATCACCTCTCCCCAGGAATGACACCAGCTCTGCACAGGGTAACAGAGATAGAGTGCGAACGGGCTGGCACCAAACAGACAACAGCCTCACAACATTGCCGTGTGAATTAGCAGCGTCGCTCAATGAGGAGTATGTTTGCTTCTGGCCAGGCGGGAGGAGAAACATGTCGCTGGTGTTTTTTTTATCATGCTGGAATCAGAATTCATGGCATCATTAACTACAGCCAATATCTCTCAGGCTCCAGCACACAAAGCTGATATTAAATAAGTATATCAATTGTGTGTGATGCCTAGCTATGGTTTAGAATAAGCATTCATTTTTCTTCAGTGCTAGCTGCACAAACTTAACATCTTTTTATTTTAACATATACGAGCCAGGCATTGCAACTTTACTTCTGTTGTTTGTTGGCTGTTTAAGGATGTCTCTTAGATATGCGTGCTTTGTGCCTGTGTTGGTGGTGTGAGGAGCAGAGAACAGAAGAGTTCTGTATTGTTTGTGTCTTGCTAGTATTAAGGAAGCCTTGCTGGATTGAAGACTTGAAGTAACCTTTCTGATGCAACTCAGTAAACAGGGTTCACAGGTGTCACTGTAGCGAGCACCAGAGCAGTGGTGGTGCTCTTTAATTGGCTTCGAGGTTGCACTGTGGAAGAAGCAACAGAGAAGTGATGAATGGACAGATGGAGGAAGGATGTAAGGGATAAACGGAGCAGATGGGTGAATATCCACACACGTACAGAGATAGATGCCTAGATTCTCAGAATAAAAGCATTAAGCTTAAAAACAGAAACTGATGACATGTTTTGATTTTGTTGCTGAGCCTTAACCAAAGGAGAAAAAGGTAGGCATATTTTTCCTCAGTGCTGTACGACAGCGTTCTCACGGCCTATTACTTGATGCAGGAATGAAATGCCGTGTTAGAGCAACAGCAGAAGTTATTGCTTTATTGACCACTGTCATCCCACCATGAGCTCACTGGTAGAGACTTGGGAGAAAAGAAGTGGACAGCTCACTGTAACTGAGCTATATAGTTAAGGGAGCCAGAAGCTTTTTTCAGGTGTGGGAGGGACAACACAAAGAGTTTGTGCAGGTACTTTACATTATGCAGATTAGCTAGAATGTAAACAAATGTATTGCTAGAAAAAAAGACCATAGATGTGGCCTACAGTCAACTAACCTACTTATAAAAATACACTGTAGTTCCTGCTTACATTATTCAAAGTACGGGAATTGTGGGGCGAACACTCAGAATACATTCATTTCCAGTGGGAAGAAGAATGTTATATAGTATTTGTTATACTGTATGTTATTTGCCTAATATATCCCGGAAAAAACCAATAGATATATGAATGTGTCAGGCTCTTTATGTGCTCATGTTTCCATAAGGATACCCACACATACACCTACAGCAGGAGAAAGCAGTGGTAGTGGCTGCTATTCTTCTTGGGGTCCACTTAATCAAAAACACATTTAAAATTTACATATCATAAAATTAAACAATTAAAAATTTACAATCTCTGACAAACCAATATAATTATTCCTGACACAATCCAAGATAACAATAGTCACTAATCTAAAGGATTTTCATTCCCGTAGTAGAAATTAATTGCAGTTTTAGACATTTCTTAAATGTAGAAATACGGGCTTTGATTCCCTGAGGAAGTTTATTCCGTTCAGATGATTCCCTAAAGATAATTCTGTATTTAAAAAAAATCTTTTTGACTTGGGGAATTCTCAAGTTTCCATTTCTTACAGATCAATATGAGCATTCATTTAACCTTTTTGATGACCCGTCCAATATTCACCCTTTTTTTAGCTGTGCTCTGGGCTCCCCCAGCTCCTGGTGGTAAAAACTACAAGTTGTCATGACAAGCTACAACTTCCACATTATGTATGTATGTACATTTTACCCATATAAAAATGTTGATTAGTACAGCTTAGACTAAAAAGAACCAGGTATAAATCTACTTTTTCTTAAAAATATTAAGTGAAATCTCCAAATATTCCATGTCTAAAAACTACAGTCTTTGTCAAGGGCACAGCTGATTGAGAGTTCTGCATTACTTGTAATGAGCAAATAAGTTTTTTTTCCAAACCTCAAGAGAGTGGACCTCAATTACATGTCAAGTTTTTGTGTAATTTAAAGGATTATGAGAAATGTTTCAGGTGCCAGGTCTAAGAAAAATCTGGTTTGTCAAGCTGTGAATGTGATAGAGCAACTAAAAATGATTCATTCATTCAGGAACTGTGTACCGTGGCTTTGTGAGGTTCTTAATGAGTAATCTTCCATGTTCTATAGGAATCTTTAATAAGTGCCATTTAATGAATGAAACACATTGTGTGGTAAGTCATTAACTTTGAAAGCAACAGTGATTGCTTTTGAAGGATTAGAACACTCTTCTTTGCATTTAAATTTGTGGCATTAATTTTTCTGAAATTATCATCTTTGTAGTCAAGAGATAAAATTGAGATTAGAAAAATGTCATTAATAAAAAGATTTCTCTACAAGCCTTTTAGTATTTTGTGCATGTGTTCCACAACTTGGTAACACTGGCTGTTATATGCAGCTACTCAAGTGCAACCAGACGACAACAGATAAATGTCATTTGATGCTAGTTTTGTCACATCTCTGATCTTTTTTTGATATAGATCAGTTATGACAGGAGGAAAGACAGGTATTGCCTCTCCTGGTGGCTAAAATGTCGCCTTGGATGTACTGACTTTTCTGATAGCATTTTAACAGTAACATCAACATATGTCAGACTGCTAAACATCATTACTGTTGAGCAAACAAGCTATAAGCCATTATGGACATCCTCATTAAACCTGAAGTTCAGTATGCGAACTTGAAGGGTTGATGTGAATAGGTTTTGTTTTTCCATCTGAATTTGTGTTATTAGATCATCCACCCTTACTTGAATAGAGCCTCCCAGAACTTGCCATTTAGCTTGTTATTCTGAAGAATTGTAGGGCATGAAGTTAGATTTTGTTCATGTCATTTAGTCAGTTTTTGTTTGTTGCAGTTGTGTACTGCTTTCTTGATGCAAAACATTTACAGTGACCTAGAGGCATTCAAAGCTCTGACCACAATAAATCATCTTGAGGAAAGAAAAACTAGAAAACTACAGAGGAAAACAACAGGAACATATTTATAAAACTTTTATTTAACCTGTGAGCAGTAATTCTCAACTATGTGTACTCCTACCATAGCTGGTAATTATGCAGTTGGATATCAGGGAAGCTCACATGAATGGCCTGGGCTTTATGCCCATTAAAAGAGATCCTTAAACTATCACGTAATACTTAATTTTGTTAGAAAAAAGTCTTATGAACAATCTGGCAGGCCTGACAAAAAAAAGCTTGTGAAAGCCTAAAGTATATTTTTCTGCCTCCGTCTTCAGGTATCATCAGAACAGCTCTGCCCAACATGGACCGGGAGACGAGGGACCAGTATGTACTCGTCATCCAGGCCAAGGACATGGTCGGACAGATGGGCGGCCTCTCCGGCACCACCTCCGTCACCGTCACACTCACTGATGTCAACGACAACCCACCTCGGTTCACTCATAGTAAGACTCCTGATTGTTCCTACAGGGTCCATAAAACTTGTCATATCCAATATATGCCATGGTCTCAACAGCTTCTGAGCCAGCAGCATAAAACCACCAGCTCTTTGCATCATGTTTAGTGTTATTTTCTTCCAGCTGAATGGGCCTTTAAAGATTTCTTATTGCTGAAAAACTGCTTGAACTCAGGGAACCAAATGAGGGCTTACAATGAACTATATGCAACAAATGCACTGGGACAGCACAGAAGGGCTGAACTGTTATTTTACTCTTGAAAAGAAATCAATGGAAAACATTAAATTTGCTATATTATCTGTAAAAACACTGTAGATTTATTTTCCCTTTATGTTGTAGAATAAAGTTGAACAGAAAGTAGCTACTCAGACATCTTAGAAGTAAAACCGGCTCATTAAATCCTCATCATTAAACTTCATCTCACCAGTTTTCTAAGGTTATGTACTCACCCCATTCCCTCTTTATCTCAGTAACTTCCCTGCATTTGTATTTTCAGCAAACATTTCGACTTTTATGAGCAAATTAAAAAAGCAGTCTTCCTGCAAGGTGTGCACCTCCGTGCCTTACTCTTCATCAGAGCTGGGGGCTGCTTCGGCGTTGGATACCAGGATCAATCAGGCTCCATTTTTTTGTTGTCAGCCTATTTCACGGGCTGCTAATGGGTTCCAGGCCAAGCTTTAGGATTCAAAGGCACGCAGTGCTTCTCATGATAATCCGAAGCGCCAGCAATCAGTTTACTGCTGCTTGCCCAACCACTGTCTGGCAGGTGCACTCACTACTGGACTGCCATAAAGCTGAGTCAATTTGCTGGCCCCCAGGGGAAAAAAAGGTTTAAGTTTGCACAACAAGTCATCAATGCCGTTTTAACCCAGTGCTGTCATGCTGGGTAGAAAGAGACTTTGGAGCAGTTCTGGGCTTTTGCCCCTGCTGTCAAGCTCACAGGGTCATGGGTCAGAATCGATAGACCACTGTAGAGCATCACAGCTGATGGGGTCTAGGAGCTACAGCTCCTGGGATGAAAGAAGGGGAAAAGAAAATGTTAGTTTGCCGGGAGGAAAAGGGAAAAGAGGTAGGTGCAGGGGCAAAACGAAAAGAGGGAAGCAACTTTTTTTTTTGGTCTTTTAAAGAGCTGCTATTCCACGGCAAATTAAAAAGCCATTATAAAGATTACGTGGTGGCAAACAATGTCAGGCAGATTAGCATTTAGACAGTGGCTGAGGGAGGCACTGTGAGGAACATGGAAAGGTCTGGTAATGAGCTCTGCCATGGTGATTGGAGAGATTATGTTTATGAATATGATTCATTTCTTTATGCCTATAAGAGTACTTTATATCTGAAGGGTCAGACAAAAGCTTGGGGAACACAATGGAGAATTTCACAGTAATAGATTCTACAAGTGGACATTTCATACCTTGAAAAGCTTGACTCCTGCTAGTTTTTTCTCTTAGTTAATTTTTTTCTTTTAGGTTCAAGGGATAACACATTACCTCCACACAGAAAAATGTAAAGACTAAAGCTAGTCTTTGCTTTCTCAGTAGCATATTTTGGTTTACCATTACCTTATCCACTGTCTAGAAGCACTGGAAGCAGAGTGCTTTGTTTCATATGTGTCGCTACTGCTGCCTGTCTGCGCTGTGTATCATTAATTTATTGAGGAGCCTGAATCAAAGCTGAAGGGGTATAACAAAAGCTGAGATGCATGAAGGTGATGGTAGTGAAATAAGCACATCCATTACCAACATCCTCTGCTGTCCATTTTTTTTCCAGAGAGCTATCAGTACACGGTGCTGGAGTCACTGCCGGTGCAATCGGTGGTGGCCAGAATTAAAGCAGCTGATGCTGATATAGGCTCCAATGCAGAGATGGACTATAGGATCATGGATGGAGATGGCATATTCAACATAACAACACATGAGGAAACACAAGACGGGGTCATCATCCTGCTAAAGGTGCAGCATGAACAACACTGTTTTTATAATATAACAGAGATTCAGTCATAAGGAATAAAAAAAATCAGTTCAGTCAAATTGTGAATAGAGTTTGTCATAAGTATTTATAAACAACTTTCTACTGATAATTGGTACTACATTTGTACTCTATTCAGTGGAGGTCAGATTTTGAGTATTACATACAGTATGTTTGCAACATTTTTATTTATTTGTACTTGGAAAGCATGGCTTACATTTGACACTGTGGATGAAGTAATATAGCTAAGCCACATATCATTAGTTACATACTGTAACTCCACTGAAGAGACTTTTGTCCACTCCCACCTGTGGGGTGGGCCCCAGTGTTGAGTATAAAATTTGGCAAGCCCTTACTATCAGCTCCCAACACAACCAGCTGTTTCTTCAGCCAGTTAAAGGAGCCAGTGGGACCCACAGCTTAGAGTGCTGCACAAACACTCACTGCATCTAGAGTTATAGTATGTGACAGCATTCTATTTTGTATAGACTCCATCCGCTAAGGCTAACTCTACTGGGTTAAGGGTAAGGCAGGATATGGTCTATGCCCCTGCTTGGTCCTTCTGTTGCCCATAAGCATAGCCACACACCTGTAGGACCCTGAGGTGAGGTGACATCACTAACCATAACATACCAGTGGTGAACAGAGTATGGGGAAAACACATATACACACACACACACATCTCCCTTTTCTGTGCCAGTAGGGCCAGGGAGGGTGTGCAGTCTAAACACCCAGCAGGTCTGGCCAAACACAGTGCCCAAATAAATGCACCCCATTGCTGAGTGCTGAGATGATGGTTACTTACTGTAACTTTCCATTGTCGAGCAGAGCATGGGGAGAAGTGCATCATTCATTGTGTCAATAGAGTCAGGAGAAAACACAGTTAACATCCAATAGTATTTAGTCCAACATGGATGGATCAATGAAGAAAGGGGAACTTCCTGCAAATATAAAGCAAACAAATGAACAAGGTGAAGACCAAGAAACCACAGAGCATGCATCTTCCACCGACATCCCTCTGAGCAATGCTGCAGATGAGGAGATTCCTCACTCACCAGAGGCCAGATATTCCTGGGAAATAGCATCACACAGCCAGTGTGATAAATGCTGAGCCAAGAGAGGAAGACTGACCATCCAGTGTTATCACCCCTGACCCTAACAAACTAATGATACTCTTAGGCCTGCAGGCTGGGTTTGGCCACAAAACCATCTGCTGCCTCCCTGGATCCGAAGGCGAGGAGAGAAATGGAAAGAGGGGTCAAATCACTAACTCACTTTTTAGAGGTCAAAGCCAGAAGCAAAACAGACAAAATCTTGAGGTAAGCTTGGTCCAAAGGTTCAAACAAAGCTTTAACCAGCCCATTGCAACACCAGAGGCAGAGTTCACGAGGTGCCAAGGCATGTGTCACAGATTCCTGTCCACCAGCAGTAGGAGGAGTAAAAACACTTGAGGGAGGGGACACACATTGGGAGCAGAGTGAGTAACATGGGCATCCTTGACCTCCTGTTCAATGGGTCAGGTAACAACCCAAACAATGCAGTGAGTGGAAGGATTCTCTCAGGTGCTCCAGGTGGCTTCTGGACTGCATGTGGGACGGGGCATCAGGTTTGATGTTCGTGCTGCCTGGCCTAAAGGCAAGGATGATGTTAAAATGGTTAACTGCCATTTTTTGTTGTTCTTAATATGCAGAAATAATATAAATATGCTTGTACACTTTTACATTTCTAGATACACTATAGTCTGTAAGCACCATACAGCAGACACTTGTTTACTGGAGGATGTTAGGATAACTGCCTCTTCCAGTTTCTTCTTCTGCCCTTTACCTGTCTCATTGTGTTTTACAATGTCTTCTCTGGTTTAAAGGATAATCATTCATGACAAATCAACACTGACTATTTCCAAAACTTTATTGCAGTAACCATCTCATGGTCACTGGAAGTTTACTACACTAATAGCTCTGGACTCAAACTGCCCCCTTTACCAACAGACAGTATAGAGATTATTGAAGGGATTGCTGGAGGGAACAGGGTGAGAGAAAGATGATAAAAATAATGTTTTTGACATCTGCCTACATCTAATTTCTCGAGTTAAATGTGTAACAAAGTCACTTATTCATTTCTACAGGACATTTGTTGCATGTTCTTGCCTCAGTTTTGGATGCTCCAGAGCTCATGGTTTATACTTCACATTTCAGGGTTTCAGAGGACTTGAAATGATCTCCTCAGGCCACATGGATGTGACAGTTCATTGCTGCTTTTGTGGGAGAGAGGGAGAAGTGTTGTCAGGCACTAGCAATTCTTGTCAGAGGGGCCAATTTGATCCTTTGTTTTGTTCCAAACTCAGACAATTACAACACTGGAGAGAGTCACCGACAATAAAAGTGTCAAATCAATGTTCTGCTGCATTATATTATATGTTGCAATAGAGAGTCCAATAAGTCAGACAAAATGTTTCAGAAGCATTTATTTCACCATGCTTTTTACCATGTTGTGTGCCTCTCTTGAAATCAATTTTATTGCTTTCACAGCACAAAACAAATATAATTCTTCAGCAAGTGACTTTCTATAAGTCTTAGTGTATTAAATTGTAATGGGTCTTTAGAGTCCACAGCTGTAATTGGGATCAATATCCCGGTATTGTATGGGTGATTAGATTAAATACATATACAGTATAACCTATTACTTTACTCTTGACTGACTGAAAATGTGGGGTGTTGATTTTACATTTCCATCAAAAAACTGAAGGTTCTTGGCCACCTCACAACTTTTTTTTGACAAAAAAGTGAAGATCTCTCACCTAGGTTGTGTCTTCTTCCCGTGTGTCTCTTCCAGCCTCTCGACTTTGAAACAAAGAGCAGCTTTTCTCTGAGAATTGAAGCCACAAACAGGAATATTGACTCCAACTTCTTGAGCATGGGCCCATTCAGTGACACAACATCAGTCAAGGTGACAGTGGAAGATGTGAACGAGCCACCCATCTTTTCCTCACCGCTTAGCAAGATGGTTGTTTCAGAGGACGCCAATGTGGGCACCTCGATTGGGAGAGTCTCTGCCCATGACCCAGACACCTCCAGCAGTGCCATCAGGTACTAATGATTTGCTGCTACAAGATGCTACAAGCTATAAATCTTTCTTGTTCTTTCACCCACTTTCATAAGAGAAAAATCCCTCCAGTCATATTTCTCTTTGATTCAGCAAATAGCTAAAACCTAACTTTGCAGTTATTTGTTCTAGATGTACTATGAGATTCCCAAAGGAGACGAATAAAAGTCCCAAATCAAGTAAAGAAGACAAATGGGTTAATCCATTCAATTGCTCGACATTAAACCTAAAGAAACAGTAGACCCTCAAAAGTCCCCGCGTGGCTGTCACTAACACACAGCCAGATGGTGGAAGGGTCAAGGAGTGCAGCACTTGCAAAAGTGAAATGCCATCTTGGA